ACGCACCCCGAAGAGCTGTGCGCTTTAGAAGGAGTCGGCCGTGCATTCTTGGACGACAGCAAAAACCGTGTATTTCGTATCTTGGTCTGAGTTTGAGTATGCTAATTACTTTTACAAATGCAAATTTTCAAAATGCGGTTTATGCAAAGTGTGTTATCTTTTATTACATCCAGAAAACACCCGTTTTCACAGAAAGACAAAAAAAAAGGTAAAATCAGCATAAATGCAAGTTCGGGAGTACAAAGAGATCACGGTTGAGAGGTAGAAAACAGTGTGAATTAGCATAAATCTTTCGGGAAGTTCAAGGAGGTCAGTAGTCAATGGCCGTCCAGCTGTCGGGCCACAAATTGACGGGCGTCTTCGGCTCGTACTTGCTGAAGCGGGTCCGGTAGAAGACGTCTTGGCCACGGGAGAGCATCGCCAGCCAGTAGCCATAGGTTGAGATTGAGGCTGAAAAGATTTGTTGAAGCGAGAGAGAAAGAGCGCGCGAAAGAGAGAGAGAGGGCGAGAGAGACCGAGAGAGGGAGAGAGAGTTAGAGAAAGAGAGAGAGAGAGAGAGAGAGAGAGAGAGAGCGAGAGAGAGAGAGAGAGAGAGAGAGAGAGAGAGAGAAAGAGAGTAGATGGTACCTGTAAGAAGTGTCGTGTCGCAATACAAATGCGCGAATCCCCAATCTACCATAGATGGCAGATAGGAGGGAGAGTGGATCACCGAAATTCGAGCATCACGTGGCAGGGTCTCATCTGGAAACTGGGCTTGGGCTTGGGCTTAGGCTTATGCTTAGGCTTAGGCTTAGCTTCGGCTTTGGCTTAGGCTTAGGCTCAAACTCACTAGCAAACAATTCCCTCGTCCAAGCCCCGTCCTGGCCGAGGATGTAGATGTGGAGCTGCTCGTAGCCGCGCTTGCGCACTGAGGAGAGGTTTGAATTTTTGCCCCATAAACCCACTCTTCTTCATGATGTACTTTGTCGCGTCGAGGGTGAAGTCGGCTTCGCTCTCCAGGTGGAAATCCTCCTTCAGGAAGTCGCCTCGGCGGATGTGGATGCAGATGCTAAAAGGGGATTTTTGAGAAGCCTAAGTCAAGCCAAGCCGTAGCCTAAGCCAAGCCTAAGCCAAGCCTAAGCCAAGCCTAAGCCCAGCATAAGCCTAAGCCTAAGCCTAAGCCTAAGCCTAAGCCTAAAGCCAAGCTTACTTATGCGTGTATTCGCTCTGCTTCTTCGTGTACATGGCCAGGCGGGCGACGTCAAGGAGTTGGGGGGAGAAGGCGAGGCGGCGCTTCAGCTCCTCGGTTCCGACCATGTCTTCGAAGAAGCGCAAATTCTGAAATTTCGGGAGATCACTTTATTACTGTAGCTTTTCTCACCTGTAAATAGTTCAATTGCGTATTGACGACACGTAGGTGCTGCACAGAGCTGAACGTCTCCACCGGGTCGAAGTATTCGAAGCACTCGTGGGTTGGGTATTTCGAGGGGTATGGCCAGATCAACTGCAAGAAACATAATTTCATGAGTTCAGCCTTTTAAAGGACCATTGAAGGCATAATGTTCAACCTAAAAAACTGGCGCTCACCTGCTTCTTCAGCACCAAAAAACCCTCCAACAAGTTCGGCATGTACTCGGAAAATTCGACCAATTTTTTGAGGCACACATCGTTGTCCGAGTAGATGGCTGGGGTCCTAAAATCGTTAGAACTGAGCTGTAAGTTAGTGCGTTGCGTACCTGTACAGCTTCCTGGCGATCCCGAGAAAGGAGATGAGCTCGAAGACGACATTTCCGACTCCACCGCCACCGGAAACCCCACAAGCCGTCAGCGAGGCGACCAGGATGCGTTTGTCGGTGTCGTCGGCAAAGCGCATGCCATGCGGCAGGCTGGAAAATGAGGTTAAGTGTACTGTGTAACCTGCCGTTTCCTAAAGAATCGCTGCTAGCCTGCCCTTTCCTAAACGACCTCTGCTAGCTAGCCTCCGATTCCTAAATGATCTCCGCTAGTTCCCCACAACCCCTAAATCAGCTCATTGTAACAACATTTTAAAGGGAACGAGACGCGAAGAGAAATCACCAAGTTTCATCTTCATCGAAAATTCATTTCAAAAACCCACAATACAATCCGATCATTCTGGACCTCGTGTAGCCAAAGTAGAAGCGTGATGCAGAGCAGTAAAATGCCAGCAAAAGGCAGAAAACGCGAGGCCGACAACACGCCCGGCCAGCCACCGCCGCTCATCCGTGCATCTGGAAATGTAGAATTGGAATAAGAACATAAAATAGCTAATTAGCAAAGTGAGAGAGAGGGAGAGAGTGAGCGAGAGAGAGGGAGAGGGTGAGCGAGAGAGTGCGAGCCATTTTTTAAGGATTTAAATTCTGAAATAGCTGATCAGTTAAGTAATAGAAAATAGTTACAATTTGAGTAAGGGAGGGAGAGAGGGCATGAGAGTCTGTGATAAAGCAGTAAGTAAACGCGATAAGCGGAAGTGAAAAAATTTGGGGGAGACGTTGCCCTGGCAACCATCAAAAAGCAGGGGCATTGCACAAACTTTTCCCGGCCCCGAGAATAGAGGCATGGAAATCGGATTAGCAGGTGGTAAAAACTATGGGGGCGAGAGAGAGAGAGATAGAGAGAGTGAGCGGGGGAGAGCGAGACAGAGACGATCGCCTGTCAAGTAAAATAACCATCGAAATTCTCGATTTTTGCTGACTTAAAATATTCAAATATCAAGAAAAATCATGAAAAGTATCATTCTTATCAGCTGAATTTCAGGGCCCGAATATCGATTTTTGCCGGGCGCGACATTTTGGGGCAGAAGTGCATCGGGGCCAATGTTTGTTTTTGGGTGAGCGGAGCGGGAAGTTTTGCATTATTTACGTTAGGCTTTGAATTTTGGATACAAGTGAGGGCAGGCTAGCAGACATTCTTTAGGAAGGGTAGGCTAGCAGAGATTGTTTAGGAAAGGGCAGGCTAGCAGAGATTGTTTAGGAAAGGGCAGGCTAGCAGAGATTCTGTAGGAAAGGGCAGGCTAGCAGAGATTCTTTAAGAAAGGGCAGGCTAGCAGAGATTCTTTAGGAAAGGGCAGGCTAGCAGAGATTCCTTAGGAAAGGGCAGGCTAGCAGAGATCCTTGGGAATTCCTAAGATTATAATGACCGAAAACACTTTAAAAAATAGCTGCTGTTGGTGTGTGGAATTATGGTGTGGAAATTGTATAGGGGTGGGAGGCCGGGAGGGTATTTGGCGTCTCCGTGAAGATGCTAATCGTCTCCCCTCAAATGGCGCCTCACAACGCCCTTCCCGCAGACACATCATTCCCTGTATTTTGGAACTTTCCGGAGAAGGGGACATGAAGGGAGTCTATACAAAGGAGGGCGGAAAAAGGGGCAGCTAGCAAAGGTCATTTAGGAATTTTTGCGGGTCGGAAGCCAAAATTATTTCTGTCCGATATGTTCCTAAGCCCAAGCCTATGCCTAAGCCTAAACCAAACCTAGGCTAAGCCCAAGTCCAAGCCAAGCTGAAGCCTAAGCCTAAGCGTGAGAACCAGCAGATCCAAATCTCAAATTCGAGACGTTGCCGATCTAGAACTTTCTGGCGAAGCAGAACTTGCCTGGGTGAACTTCTTGGACTGCGCTTCCGGGTTGGCAAGCTAGCAGAGATTCTTTAGGAAAGGGCAGGCTAGCAGAGATTCTTTAGGAAAGGGCAGCCTAGCATCGATTCCTTAGGAAGACGAAGGATTCCCAGTCCCTTGAAAGGTCACTTTTCCAGAGTCCCATGAGTTCTCGTCATTTCCTCATTTTCTCCCTGATGCAACATTTGAATGACCGGAGGGGACCCCCTTCTTTCTCTGGGCTCTCTCATTTTTGATGCTCTCTCGCCGAGGTGGCTCCAGATCTTGAGCCGATAGCCTGAGGTGGAGCTGGAGCCGTAGGTATGAACCGTGGTGTAGCGTGAGAAATGTCAAAATTAGGGGATATCATATGTTCAAGGAGAGAGGGAGAGAGAGAGAGAGAGAGAGAGATCGAGAGAGAGAGAGAGATCGAGAGAGAGAGAGAGTGATAAAAAGAGAGAGAGAGAGAGAGAGAGAGAGCGAACGAGGGAGAGAACGAGGGAGAGAGAATGATAAAGAGAGCGTGATAAAGAGAGAGAGCGAGAGAGAGAGAGAAAGAGAGAGAGAGACTGGGTGTGAGACAGAGAGGGAAATCGATATAGTCGACTTCAACCCTCCCAGTCCCTTTAAAAACCCAAATCACGAAAAAATCTGAAGCAGGCAAGCGAGTAGAGATTCTTAGAGGTTCCAACTTTCCAAAGTACACCAAATTACAGTATACCCACCCGTCTTTCCAGAGCGTTGCGTAGTCGGAGTAGTAGCTGCGGAAATTTGAGCAGAAATCGTGGTCATAGCTTCTTAGGCACGAAAGCTCGTGCTCCAAAAGTCTCAGGCTCAGCTCCCGGGTGGCTTCTCGTGTCGCGAGGCCCTCTAAAAGCCGCCCGGAAATTATCGCCGCCTGAGAATCTCGAATTTACCGCGCTCGGCTGCCCAGCCGCACCCGGATGGTCGGCGCGCAGACCTGTTTACAAAAGTTGTCCGTGTGGTCTCGTAGCGGAGCTTTTTTGGGAGAGAGAGAGAGAGAAAGAGAGAGCGAGAGAGAGAGAGAGAGAGAGAGAGAGAGAGAGAAAAGAGAAATGGAGACCATGCAAAGATTCAAATCTCGACGGCTTCTTCTCACGGCTCGCAAACAATCCCGGGTGAAAAACTGGAATTTTTGGGCGGTGAGTCATTGTTTTTTTGGGGGTTCTGTCAAGGTTAACACAAAAACTATCTCTCTCCCTCTCTCGCTTTCACTCTCTCTCTCTCTCTCTCGCTTTCCCGCTCTCTCTCCATCGCTCTCTCTCTCTCAATCTCTTTTACTCTCTCTCCTCTCTCCTTTTAATCAATAATTTATTGAGCAGCCATTGAACACAGAAAATGGTACATAAAACCCGTAAAATATTAGAGCCAAAAAGATCTATGAATTTAAGCACAAAGGCCAGTCGACGTTTCACAACTCGTTCCGGTCGGACACTTCGAACACGTTTGGCCCGCCGTGTAGGCGTTCGTCTTCAGGTAGTTTCCACTAAAATAAATAAGTAATTGATGATTTAACGACGAATCTAAAGCTCGGCCTGAACGGCTTGGAGTCGTTGAAAATTGCCGGGGATAGCCAATAAAAAAAGAAACTTACGGTTTCGTATACTGGCATACGACGATAACATTGTGTCCACTGCTGCACAAGGTTGCCCCGCATCCCATTTGGCTCGAGTCGGACCAGGCCATCTACAAAAGTAGAATGCAGGGGAGAGAGAGAGAGAGAGAGAGAGAGAGAGAGTGAACGAGAGTGAGAGAGATACCTGCGTCGCGTGTCCAACTCCCGTGTCAAACACTTCAATCGAAAATTTGAGGCTGGACCAACCGAACTCCTGGAATTCGTTGGCCCAGGCGGTTGCGGATTTGTTGCCTGAATCATAGCGTATCGTACAATTCCCCAAAGAAACTCTGCTAGCCTGCCCTTTCCTAAAGAATATCTGCTAGCCAGCCCTTTCCTAAAGAAACTCTGCTAGCCTGCCCTTTCCTAAATATTCTCTGCTAGCGTACCCTTCCCATCTATCGTATCCGCCGCCGACGACCAGCTCATGTACAAATTCTCGCCCAATCCCGTCGTATTTGAATGTTCAAACACGCATTTATTGGCGTAGGCCTGGGCCGAGGATTCTAGCGTCGTGTTCCATTTCTAAAAATATAAATAATTTAATAGACAACTATGTAAAGAGTCCAAAAATATACTTAACCTGAAAAAAATACTTTAATAAACCAGGAAACCGAACCAAACTCACAATTTTCAGCATATCAGCCGCGGCGGGCATTTTGACACCCTTGGCGGTGAACTTGCCGAGGGCGATCTGAGCTCGGAGGTTGTTGTGGACCTGGAAAAAATGCTTTTAAAGGAGTTGTGAAGTCTTGGAGTTGTGGATTGTGGCTTCAATAGTCCTTTAGAATATACAGGTAAAATTACTAACTTTTTGACTCTCGCTCTTTCTCTTTCTGTCTCTCTCCCAATTGATAGAGTTAGATAGAGATAGTGAGAGTGTGCCAGAGAGCGAGAGAGAGAGAGAGAGAGAGGGCTTGAGAAAGCAAGAGAGGGAGGGAGAGAGAGAGCTAGAGAGAGAGAGATTGAGGATACCAAGAGAGACAAAAATCGGTAAAATCGCTTACCCTCAATAAATCATCCTTATCTTGTTGCTTAAATCCAGCCCCGTAGGCGACACTAATAAAAATAGAACACAAGAATACGGTATTCATAGTGCTATTTAGAGCTATAAGAATTCCTAGTTGAATAAGGTAAGTTACTGGAATCCCAGCTCGCTCCTAGCATCCCTGGAACTTCCTTAAATATTGACCACCGTGTCCGGGTCGTGTGGCCAAATATGGGCCATTTACTGGGCCCAACACAGGACCCAATTGTTAAGGCGGACACGCGCGCCTTGGGGCCCATTTTGGAGCATTTTTTGGTGTTGACTTTAGGGTTCCTTTAGATGGCCTGGGGGCACGCTTTATTGGGATTTAGCGCAGTTGAAAGGTTGGAAGTTTAGATGAGCAAAGTACCGGAATACCGGCAGATATACCGACAGAGATAGAAAGAGAGGGAAAGAGGGAGAGAGAGAGAGAGAGAGAGAGAGAGAGAGAGCGAGAGAGAGGGAGATAGACAAAGAGAGAGTTTTTTCAGTACGACCGTTTATTGTTCTTAAGAAAGCCATCAACGCAGCTACGCAATGCTTCAAACAACACTCTATCCGACGTCACAACCCCCTAAAATACCCTAAAGGCGTTCAATCGGGTGGAGTGATTTTTTGACTCTTCCGCCCGGTTAACCCCTGACTCCCCGAAAGCCCATGCGCTCCCACGACTATGCAGGTTTCGCAAGGTTAAGAGTCTTCGGCTCTACTCTCTCTCTCTCTCTCTCTCTCTCTCCTGCTCTCTTTCTCTCGCTTGAGATTCTTCTGCCCTGCTGAACGCTGAAATTTATAAGCCGAGAGGAACGTGCAAAAGCACGAATGAATGGACGTCAGCGCGGAGTCACGCGGAATTTAGGACCAACTTACGTCTAAGCCCAAGCCTAAGCCCAAAGCCCAGTCAGCGTTTTCAGCCGGCGGACGGAACTTCACTTCGGCGCTCAATCGACTTTACAACAGGTCTGTTTTTAAAACCCTATTCGGTTTTTAGGGTTGCTCGCATTTTGGGCAGAATTGTTCAATTTTTATGCCATTTTTTATTATTTACTGCGTTGCTCTGGAAAGATCGTAATTTTTTGCTATGCGCAGTATATGTTTCTCTCACCCTCTCTCTCGCGCGCTCTATCTCTCTCTAGCTCTCTCTCTCTCACTCACTCTCTCTCCCTCGTTTTCCAAGCAGTCACGATCCTCTACTCATTTCCTTTTTTCTGATGCTCATTTTGCTGCTCCTGATGCTCAAAGATCATCCGGAATTCCGACACCCCGTTCGTGTCAGATTCCAAGAGTGGCGATGCCAAACGGAGGGCCGCTTTTGGCAAGGCGCCAAAAAACAATCGGGTCAGAATTCCTGGGTCGTACGTCTTCACGGGGTTAATGCTCATTTAGCCAGGCAGAGATGGCAATTCCCTAAAAAGGCAATTTCCGCTCCTCCGTCCAGAGGAATGGATCGTAGTGGGAGGCTAAAAAATGGGCTTTTTTCTCGTTTGCAAGGAGAATAAGCTAGAAATTAAACGAGTAAATGGACGTAATTTATCTCGCTCTCTCTCTCTCTCTCTCTCTCTCTCTCTCTTCCAGCCCATTTTTTTCAGCAGCAGGCTTCTCCATCCGGTCAACTCGTCCCATTGGCTCCCCCCGTAATCTCGCGTTCCGGGTGGGCCCCAATTTCCCGCCGAGTTTTTCTGCCTCTCTCTCTCTCTCTCTCTCTCTCTCTCTCTCTCTCGCTCTCTTTCTGCTAACCCATCTGTGGCCCCTAAGCTGCCGTAGGGCCCTGATTCTTCTCGCGGGGTCGAAGAGGCCCCCTGGCTGAAACCCGAGGCCCTGGGCCCTTAACTTCTTCGTTTTTGGGCGCCAAGCCGACGACCGCTGCTATATTATTAATTTGGGGGGGGTTCATATCGGTGCTGCAAGAGCGGTTGAGCATCAACAGATCATTTTTTGTTTTTTTCGTCTCAAGACGTGAAATTCTGGCTAGCAGAGATTCTTTAGGCAAGAGCAGGCTAGCAGAGATTCTTTAGGAAAGGGCAGGCTAGCAGAGATTCTTTAGGAAAGGGCAGGCTAGCAGAGATTCTTTAGGAAAGGGCAGGCTAGCAGAGATTCTTTAGGAAAGGGCAGGCTAGCAGAGATTCTTTAGGGAAGGGCAGGCTAGCAGAGATTCTTTAGGAAAGGGCAGGCTAGCAGAGATTATTGTGGATAGAACTTCTAGTTTTCCATTTTTTTACAAACTACTTCGAAGCTACGCGACGCTCCTAGCAACAAAAACTTGTTGATCCAGCGCTAACAAGCAGATTTTTGGTCTGGGAAGTTCTGGCTTCAAAAAGATCGCATTTTCACAACTATTCAAGCCGAATTTCGGGGGGACCCGGATTCTGGAATCAAATTTTCCCGGCTTGACCCCAGTGATCGGCTTCGCGTTCCTTAAAAATGTTTCGGTTTTGATTGCATTTTTATACTCCGAAGTTTTTAGTAATTTGCAACTACTGTATCTGACAGATCCAAAAAATGTAAATTTTCTAGTGAATGCTACTAAAAATGGAGCGTTTTATCTTGCGGATGGTTGGCTGGCTGAGCGGAAATGGTAGGTTTTATCGAAAAATTATCGCTTTCTCTCGCTCTCTCTCTCTCGCTCTCTCCCTACCTCTCCCTCTCTCTCTCTCTCTCTCTCTTTTCTCGCTCTCTCGAATTCTCACGATTTCACTGCTCCGCCAATAAAAGACCCGCATTTTAATTCCGGGAAAAGCAGCAGCAAACGGAATTCCAGAAAAGCACGCGCTTCGAATTTTATTGCAGGGCCCCCGGGTTTAGTGTTGAGTTTTTCGGCCGATTCGCGCCAGGACCTGCAGAATTTATGCAGCGCAGAAATGGGTGGAAATTCAGTCGCCCGAATTTTTGGGGCCTGGCTACCGTAACCCAGAGATTCTCTTGGAAGCCTGGTTTGCCAAAAGAATCTCTGCTGGCCTGCCCTTTCCTAAAGAATCTCTGCTAGCCTGCCCTTTCCTAAAGAATCTCTGCTAGCCTGCCCTTTCCTAAAGAATCTCTGCTAGCCTGCCCTTTCCTAAAGAATCTCTGCTAGCCTGCCCTCAATTATTGTGGAATTCTTCAGCCTTACAGTACCCTAAAAATTCCAATAAATTTTCTCACGTCATCGGAACTCTATAGGGACCTAAATTTATGCAAAATACCTCCCAGTTTTCGTGAAAACACTTTTGCTTTGGGCTTAAATCCCGGCCCGGTAATGCTCATCAGAAATTCCGGGGAGGTGAAGTGGCACTTCACCCCTACGAAGGGCCATTTTTCAGGAATTTCTGCCCTAGGCGAAAGCCCAAACGTTCCGCGCATCGGCGAAAGCAGCCGTTTTCTGCCGGATTTTCCGCTTTTTGAAAATTTGTTGAGAATTTAGTGATTCCCAAATGGCCTCTGCTAGCCTGCCTCAATCCTCAAATAATCCCTGCTAGCTTGCCCAATTCCCAAAAGATCTCCGCCAACCTGCCTCCGACCATTCCTAACGAATCTCTGCTAGCCTGCCTTATCCTAAGGAAACTCTGCTAGCTTGCCTCAATTCCCAAATGACCTCTGCTAGCCATCCTCGCTCCTGAATGCGCCCATTTTTGGCTATAAAGTGGCTTCCGCTTCCCATCCCAAAAATGCACCCTCGTTTGGTCATCAGAATCGTAAAGTGATGAGCCAGCAGAAGAGGGGGGTTGAGCACGAGCGGGGGTATTTAGCTGTTTTCAGGGGGGAGACACGAGCAGAGCCAGAGAGAGAGAGAGAGGGACGTCGTGTTGACGAGGGGCCATTCATTCCATCGGCCCGGCCACTAGTCGCCCATTTCAGGGCTGGGTCGCTAAATGGCCCCGGAGGGGCACCAAAAAATGCCCGTTGACGATTGTTGTTTTTTGTTTCCTCGTTTTTAATGGTGCTCATTTTGCTGTAGGCGTTGATGCGCAGTTTGAGATTTTTTCAGTCATTTTTCAGGCGGGCTTTAGCGCTAAAAAATTCTATTAGATCCCAGCTAAAAATGCCTAAATTTTCTATGCTATTTTGCCCTCGATTCCCAAAAAATCTCTGCTAGCTTGCCGGCCTTGATTTGGGCCATTTTCTGGCCTGCGCATCCAGCTGAGTGTTGCACTCCGCTCACTCTCAATGACCCCGCCGCCCCCCATTCGAAATGGCCTAATTTCACACACGCCAAAGTCAGTTTTTCGAGCCAGTTCGGCTAGAAGGGCCCGTCGTCCATCCGCTAGGGCCCAGTTAGGGCCCACTGGGCCCTAGCTGGAGCCCCCGATTCGGACACTCGAAAATTCCGTCCCCAATTCCAAAATAAAAGCGTGGCCCTTCGGCTGCCAGCCTGGAAAAATGGCATGGTGCTACGGTTTTTATGTTATTTTGACTTTTTGGAGCTGGCAGGCTAGCAGAGATTCTTTAGGAATTCCCCGTGTACCAAAAATCATAAATTTCTCGATTTTGCACCCCCACCCGCCCTTCACATCCGTCAAGAGCATCGGACCGGAAATTGGCGGGGCCCCAGGTCTGACTGAACCAAAAATTGGGCCCCGGGCGGCTCTACATCCCCGATCTAGGTTTTTCGCATGATTTACGATTTGTAGCACTACGGTATTGCGCTGAAGTATTTCTAAGGACCCCCTGCTAGTCCGCCTCCGTAATTCCCAAACGATTTCTGCTAGCCTGCCCTTTCTTAAAAAATCTCTGCTAGCCTGCCGTTTCCCAAATAACGTCTGCTAGCTTGCCCCAAAGTCCACGCATTTCAAAATGTGCCCCGGGCCCCCTGAAAATAGCTCGAAAAATATTTGAATTCCCACGGCTCCCGGGGGGTGGATGGATATCTCGACAAGTGCTCCCCCCTTCACCAAGAAACATAAATCTTGCCCTGGCTTTTTGTTGCCGGGGCCCTTTTCGGGGCTTGTCGAGTTGTCCGCCGTCCCTTAGGGCCCAGTCTTAGGGCCCAGGGGCCACCCGGGGGTTAGGGCCCAGTTTTCGGCAGGGCCCCTTGTTTTTCGATACGCCCCCAATGCTGCGTCGGCGGGGCTCGATCCTGGAGCCACTTCACCCCGCGTTTCACGCCTCTTTGACGGGGAGCTGAATTTTTTGGACCCCTCCCGCTTCTTTTTCATCTTCTGAAAGTTGCCACTGCCTAAGCCTAAGTCTAAGCCATGCCTAAGCCAAGCCTAGGCGCAGTCCAAGCCTAAGCTAAGCCTAATCCTAAGCTTAAGCCTAAGCCTATGCCTAACTAAGCCTAAGACGCTATTTTTCTATTTTTACGAGCTTCTGAAGCCCTGAAGCTGATATTTTTGGAAATGCTCCCCCTCCTAAAGGGCTCTGACGTCGACGACCGGATAGGACAATCCGGTTTTCGCGGCCAGAAAACAGGCAAAAAAGGCAAAACGAGGGGCTGTCTATTGCATAGAGGGGCGATCCCTCCAGAAATACGAATAGATATGGATAGAGAAAGAGAGAGAGAGAGAGAGAGAGAGAGAGAGAGAGAGAGAGGAGAGAGGATAGCTACATTCGATTACTCTGGACGTGCCATTCGTCATCATAGGAGCATCCCGGAATCTCGGGACAGCGAGTGGGAATCCGATTCATTTTAGCGCCCACCAAGGTCAATCGAAAGATCAGGTGTCTGGCCGGGTGGCGGAGATCATTTGGGAACGAAAGCGGAGGCTAGCAGGGATTCTTTCGGAAGGGGCAGGCTAGCCGAGACCGTTTTGGAATCGTCATTTTTTGCAGAATCTATTTCTAAATTCCTTCTTTCCCTTTCACAAAAAGAATTTGCGACTCTCAAATGTTCCCATGGCGTGCCGAACGGGCAGACATCGACCGCCATATCTCGCCTAACAAAATGACGAGCATTTCGGGGGCGCGAAAATGTTGGCGCCTTTTTACGAGCTTTCCCGGTTATAACTGGGCCGGAATTTATGGATTTGGGCTGTTTTGGGAGACACGGAAGTTTCGTTATCACCGGAATTCCGTAAGCCTTTTCTAGCCTGCCATACTCCTTTCCTGCATTTCCATCAGAATCGCTGCTAGCTTGCCCTTTCCTAAAGGATCTCTGCTAGCCTGCTTTTTCCCAAAGAATCTCTGCTAGCCTGCTGCCGCTTTCCGTTTCTGCAAAACCCTCCTACAGCAGCAATCAACAACTTAAGGGAACATCCGAAGGGATCGAGCCTAATTTTCTATTTTTTTTCCGCATTTTCCTCTTTTATTTACCGGTAACGAGGCGCGTCCGCGGCGCTCCTAACGACACCCAAATTACCCTGTCGACCCTTAAATTTTCGAGTAGGGACAGCAAATGGCGTCTGGAGAACACCGTAGGCATCAAGAAAAAAGTTTTGGACTTCGGGCTAGGTTAGCAGAGATGTCTGAAGAATTTTGGGTGCTTTTCGTGCTGTTTTGGGATACTTCTCGTGGCAGAGAGGGTCAAATTATTCTGTTTATGTTCGCGTGAGGGGACAAAATCGAAAGCGGGGGTTGGGTGTTCGCCCCCAAAAAGGGGCAATGTATAATAAACAAAGAGTAATACTTGATAAATAAAGGAATTAATTTCTCTCTCTCTCTCTCTCTCTCTCTCTCTCTCTCTCTCGTTCTCTCTCTCTCTTTTGTATCAAAACATTAAAATATACATCCCAAAATCTAAACTCTAAACTCCATGCTGATACGCCGAACTCACATGCACCAATTTTCGCCTTTCCGTTCCCGGAATCCTCAAATAACCCCTATTGCTACTACTACTGAATCCCCCACTCGAAATTGGACGTCCATCAAGGCCATTTCGAGCCCCGGCTACTCCCAGTACGTTCGACGACAATTTACGCGGGGTTATTAAGCCCCAAAAAATTGACTTGGGTTCAACAATCAGGCGCTAAATTCTTGGAAATGATAAAATCGTGCGTTTTTGCGTAATAGATAATTTGGCTGCTGCTCAGTCCCCTTAAAAATTGCATAGAATCGTCCTGGCAATAGCCCTTTAAAAGCCCATCTTTTCGAAGGTTTTGCTTGACGTTAAACCGCTAACAAAAATAATTTATTTAAATTAAGACTCTTTATTAGATTTTAAAAATCTCTAAGTTTTGAAGGCAACACTTTTGCCTGCTCTGTCCCTTTAAAACCTACAAAAATTCGGCAGAATATTCATACATTTACAAATTTTTTCGCTGAAGCCTGAATTTAAGAAGCGTTTTAAAAACTTAAAATCTTAGTTTAAATATCTATTCCAGTTTTCGATGCCCTGCACTTTCCATAATCCATAGCTTTTTGCCTTGTCAGTCCCTTTAAAACCCAAAAACCACCCCGATTTTCGATGTCTAAGGTATAAATAATTGGCTTAAAGGTTTCTTCAGAATCTAGAGGCATAGTAATATTGGCTTAATCAGTGTAGTAGGCTATCGAGGGCCGTAGGAATCCCTAGCTACACCCCCACCCCCATCCACCGGGTTTTCATGGGGATTAGGGCACCTCCTTTCCGGCCGGCTTTTCACGTATTTTCATCGGCATCCATAAAATGGAAAATGTCACGTCGTCTCTCTCTCTCTCTCTCTCTCTCTCGCTCTGTCTCTCTCTGTCTCTCTCTCGCCTTATGGCCATTTTTGAGAACAATAAAGCACAGACACGTATTTTGCGGTGCGCATTTCTGAAAATTTCCTTTCCTCAATGATTTCTGCTATCCCGCCCGCCACTCCCAAATAATCTCGGCTAGCCTACCGTCCGTTCCCAAGCTTCTGCAAGCTAGCATTGCTCTGATTTGTTTGATTTCCTCAAGGATCTTTGCTAGCTTGCCTTGACCCGTAGTAAAAAGTATGGGCAAGCTAGCAGAAATCATCACGGAATAGCGAGAGCGAGAAAGAGAGAGAGAGAGAGAGAGAATGAGCAGGCTGCAGAGATTCTTCAAGGAACCCATAGCCATTAGAAAAATAGGCAAGTTCCAGAAAATTCCACAATCCCGGAGCCATTTCAAGGGCATCCCCGGGCAAAAAAATTCCAGGCAGACGAACCCCTTTACCCCGGCTCTTCCATGATTGACCAGAAAAAGACAACAAGATGAGGCTTTTCGTTGGCGGGTCCACATCCTGCTTCTCTCTCTCGCTCTCTCTCTCTCTCTCTCTCTCTCTCTCTCTCTCTCTCTCGCTCTCTCTCTCTTTCTCTCGCCGAGATTTCGGCGGGTAATCACATTTGGGGCCTCCCTTTCAGTCTTCGCCCTCCCCTTTTCGTCAAGATGGGCAAGGCTTGCCATTTTTTAGCTTCTTCTTTCGCAAGCTACTGTATCTGACCCTAATTTCATTTGTTGAGGCCGAGGGTTGAAGCCTGACCTTAGAAAAATCAGAGACCGTATTCCAGTCACTGCCGTTTCCACAGGTTCCTAAAGAATCACTGATGGCCTGCCCTTTCCTAAAGAATCTCGGCTAGCCTGCCTTTCCTAAGGAATCCCTGCTAGCCTGCCCTTTCCTAAAGAATCTCTGCTAGCCTGCCCTTTCCTAAAGAATCTCTGCTAGCCTGCCCTTTCCTAAAGAATCTCTGCTAGCCTGACCTTTCCTAAAGAATCTCTGCTAGCCTGCCCTTTCCTAAAGAATCTCTGCTAGCCTGCCCTAGGAGGAAGCAAATTTACTCCAAAAAAAATTTACCGAGAAAGGAGAAGCTCGTCGGCTTGACCACAGTCTCGAACAAAAAGCCCATGTTAGCGCCTCTCTCGCCTCTTTAGGCTTCTTCTTTTAGTGACTCGCCGGGACCGGGGGCCCTTCTGTCGGCAAGACTAACAAACCCAATTTATCCCCCTTCCCCAGGGCTTTTCCCAGCTTCTTCTTTCGACGGGATCCGCTGCGAAAAGCCCAAGGGTTCAATCCCACCCGTCCGTTTTTGTGCCGGCAATTTTTTGGGGGTGGCTCCACCGGAAATTGGCACGATTTAGAGGGGGGTAGGATTTGCAGGGGGGCGTCTAGGGCAGGTGGAAGCATGGTGGAAAACGGCCTAATCCAGGGTTAAGCCTAAATCTAAGCCTAAGCCAAGGCTAAGCCAAGCCTAAGCCTAAGCCTAAGCCTAAGCCTAAACCGATGCCTAAAACCTACGCCCAAGCCCAATTCTAAGCCCAACCTGAGCCTAAGCCTTCCGTCCCCCATTCTCCGACTTTCCCGTCCCCTTAAAAAATCCACTCTGACGCACGGACTCACCCTAACCCCTAAAAAGTGACAACTTTCAGCGTTCACTTTTTTATTCGAGGCGATGCCGGGCTCATTTTGTGGGGGATTTTCCCGGGTCACGGATGGGTCCCAGTGATAAGGGCCATCCTTAGGGCCCGGTGGGCCCTAAGGTTGGGCCCCAGCGTGACAGCTGTTCGGTTTTCCGACAAAGACATACACACCCTCAGGTGCCCTCCTTTTGCCCCGAGGTTTATGACTCCATTTCGGCCGCACCACACACTCGCCACGCATTCTTTGGGTTGCGAATGGCGCCTGGAAACCACTTCCTGCTTTCGAGATTTAAGGTCCTGATT